CTATCCGCCTCAAGTGCTTAGCAATTGGTTGCGCGAATTCTCTGACCACTTTTCCCAGGCAGGAATCCTGAAGGCATGGGTTCTCGAGGGCCGTGAGAAGGGCATGTTCGCACGGTACAACCTTTCGCTGGACAAATTGCTCGCTGCAAAGTTCGCTGGGGACAAGGACACACTGACGCTTGACGAGAACAACCCCGAGACCGCGCGGAACGTCATTTTCATTTCCTACCCCAAGTTCGCCCAACAGTCGCTTTACAATGAAGAGATGGGAGACAAGGGAAGGACAGCACTGCTTTCGCCCATGAAAAGACTTTGCTAATACTCGTCCCAGAAACCGGAGCTCACCGCGCGACAGCGGAGCATCATGAAGTCCGAATGGTCTGATGAGGCCAAAACAGCATTCGTTCGGTCAACCTCGACTGCGAAAGTCCAGGACAGGGACAAGGATAATCTCTCGTCCATCTTCGCTGGCTGGTTCGACGTCGCTGTCATTGACGAGGCACAACTTTGCAAGGATATGAAGTCAAGGAACTTCATTGCTGAAGGAACTTCATTGCTGTATCCCTTTTGCGGCCTCAATTCTACATCCTGCTCACGGCAACCCCATTATTCAACCAACCTGGGGATTTGAGCGCCTTGCTTGCCCTTTGTCAACCCGCGACTTTTCCGAAGAACTTCATGGGAACGCTCCCACGCGAGCCCTCTGAAAAGCAAGTAATCGAGTACTACCAAGCCCTCAATCCCACGGACCCGGCAATTTCAGCGGTCAACACGTTTGACTTGCTGTTGAGCGATGGCCTCTTGACGACAAGGGCAGCAGAAGAAGTCCTTTCAAAGATCATGGCCTTCGTTTCGATCTCAAGGTCTCTCGCCACCAAGGTTGATCGTGGTCCAAAATTTGGTGGCATCTGGAAGGCGGCAAAGGGAGTCGCGCCCTACGACTTCCACACGCTCGAGTCGATCTTCGGACCAAATGAGAAGAAGACGTACACGAGTGTCTGTTCGAACTGGGTCCCGAACTTCGACAACGCCGGACGTAACGAGGAGTCTGCGCGCAAGGGAAACTCGAGAGGATTCTGGAGCAAAGTTGCTGTCCGCAGGCTTGCCATTGCAACTTTTGCCCCAATGCTCGAGCTAGCTGCCATCTGGGGAAGTGGCCCTGAAACCACTCGTTTGGCTCAAGAGCAGCGCATCGAGAAGGCTTTCAACAACAAAGACCATGGCCTCAGCTGGCTCCTGGGCGTGGTCATCGAGGATCCAGCCATTGAGCCAGGATCCATCACCAATGCGGCCATGATCGCAAGATACCTTGCACGGAGGTCCCCCAAGCTCAGAGCCTTGGCCACAATTTTGGCCACCCACGTTCCACGCAGAGAGCGTGTCCTTGTCCTCGCGGAGCATCCAGCGACTCAATGGCTCATCGAGCTGTTCCTGATGGTAGTGGGGCTTGGAGTCGCCTCAATCAAGCAAGACACGTCGCATGAGGACCGTGCAGAGTTGTTGACTGAGTTCAGCAATGGAGCATCGACCAAGTTCGATGTCCTTGTCTCAACGGTGCGCTTGCTGGGCACCGGACTCAACGCACATCGGGCGTGCCATGTTTTGGTGCTGCCAGACGCTACCTGTGGATCTGGATACACAGTCCACGCCATTGGTCGCGTTCACCGACTTGGCCAAGAACATCGTCAGCATTGCTACCAGCTTTCGGTAAAGGACAGCCAGGAAAAGGCAAGCGAATTCATGGCGCCCCGATCCTCAGCATCTACGCCAGCAAAGCGGCAACGTCAAGGCACTGACAACGACACGGAGTCGGATGATTCGAGCTCTGACGAACTTCCTTTGAAGAAGTTGCGACACGCTGGTCGTCAAGACTCGCTCATGGGTGGCCAGGACACGCCCACCCCCAAACTGGAGCCGAAACCGAAGCTCGCTCCTACGCCTATACCCAAGGTCAAGTCGGAAGATACACCATAGCCCGCTGAAGGTCTTCGTCGATCGGGACGCGTCAAGACCAAGGCGCCTGGAGGCGAATATGGACATGCGGCAACTTGAGTCAGTAATAGTTCACACAGGCACGGTGGGTGTCGGAAGAGATGCGACAGACCTCCTCACATTGTGAGTACACTCAGGGAGCATTCCTTCGCTGCCACAGCTACGCTTTGGGAGTATTCATTCAACGCTGCATCTAGACCCAGGGAGTTTCGTTTCTTTCTACCCCTACTGTGCAGCAAGTCTCGGATCTCCCCTTTTTCTGCTTTTTGGATAGACAGAGTGGCGGATGGAAAAGCTTCTGATTTCTTGGTTGGATGCAATGCTGCAGACGAGGCTCTTGGTTTGAGCGAGCGTTCCTTCTTCTTCTTGATGGCAGTGGCGTGGTTTTAGACTTTGGGAGAACACCACGACTTTGCTTTTCCAGCCAAGTGCAATTGGCTTTGCGACATCACTTCCTAGTCACCGGTACATTCGTCAGGTCTGCCCTTGATACCCTTTGTCCTGGCGAGATTTTCCTTGCATTAGCTTCAGATACCCTTGCTCAATAAACGGCTTTCTCTTTTTCACACTCAAAGAAGAATTTTCCACCTTGCTGCTATCGCTGGGTGCGAGCTCAACTTTTCATCCTTAGAGAGGTCCTCTGTTAGGTGGGGCTTGAAAACATTAGTTTCAATCCTGAGGTCGGTACACCCCAGACGGTCAAGCGTCCACAACCGCCTCACAAAACGACAAGAAAGAAGACTTGTGCCCATAGATTTTACTAGTATGGATTTAGCAAAACCGAGTGACTGTCGCCAAGGAAATACAATCAGCAGACAGAATGAAAGCCAGAAAGCAGACACCCGGGAAAATGAGGTGATGCTAGTGCGAATAAGATGCGAAACAGAGTGGAGCGCAGGTAGCAAGGCGCAGAAACATCGCGCTCGAGGGACTGATTGTTGGTCAGATAATGTGTGGTACAAAGGAAAAACAAAGTCAACGGTGGACTCACAATGGACGCAGTGTTCCAATGAGAAGCTGCTGGCATCCCCACGATCGCCGCTGATGAAGCACTTGGGTGTCTTCAGTGTCGGGCATGGCTCTCTTGAGATATTGATGGCCCAGAGAATGCTCCACGTCGTTCATGTACCAACCCATGTCCCATCCTTGGTGCCTCCCTCTGCTGGGGTTCCTGCGGCTCGGTCGACCTCTCAACGCGAGTTTGCTGCTGATTCTTCGGGTTTGGGCTCCCGTACTTGACGGTCATGTACGTAAAGAACAGTGGCAAGGCCATCGTGAAAATGGAGAATAGAACGAGAAAGAGCATCATATCTGCTGTCAGTATGCTGTTACAGAGACTGGAGATAGGCAAAATCTTTTCTCGGAAAAACGGAGAAAGTCATGACATACTTATAGGAGCAGTGCGGGCTGGAGAATGGCAAGGAATGTCAAAGACTTGGAAAGGACACTGGAAAACACGGGACAGAGACAACTACTGCTAGACAAGCGCGACTGTTCTTCGCTTCTCCAGGAGCGTAATGTATGTCCTTGTCTTGGATTCCTATCGAAAGAGAGAGAGCAGGCTGGCAGGTGAACCGATTTTGGCGGCTGGTGGGGGCTGGAATCTTCAGGTGTTTGCGATGGCCGAGTGCTGGCGCCTCAGGTTTCGCCATCCATCTAACCCATGTCGTGTGCCGTCCATGGAGCATTCAATATCAGAGGACTGCAAAAAGGAAATGTAGATGAAGAGTGGTCAAGATACTTGCGAGAGGGACAATAAGCAGAATCCACGCACATACATGGAGCACGTCTAGGGAGCGTTCAGCATCGTAAAAGGCCAGCGGAAAGAAATGAATGCAGGGAGCATTCAAGACCCCAACAGCGATGAAGTATTGAAAGATTGAAAATCTACCCGCCGGACTCTCAGTGAGATCGTCAGACAGTCTGCAGCTGCACAACGATAGCAGAGAGAGCTACCGCACTAGCTGGAGATGTTAGGGAGGGGAAGTAAGAGTTGATTCTTCGAAGGTCGCAGGCTTCGCGATGCAAGAAGACGCATGGCGAGCTGCAGCCGCTAACCACAAATGGAAATCCCTAAACTGGGATAGGAAGGCCTTAGGCCTGAATAGGCAAGTAAGCGAGCAAATGAGTGTGGGAAATGAAGTGCGAATGCTCGAGCAGACCTCTCGATCGGTCGTCATTCGTCAATCTTCAAAACCGTAACAGGAGACCAGGCTGTCTTCCAGCAAGTCTTGTGATCGCATAATGTCGCTCTTCGACGCTTGGCGTCAGGAAAGAGGAGTTCCGTTGTCGCTGCAGCGATGCGGTGTGAACAGTTGGTTACAGTCATTCAGAAGCAAGGCGGCGAGGCAGTCGCTGCAGTCCGATGATAGGAGATGTGCACGAAGGAAAAGATGAAAAAGATCATCGCTTCAACGATAGGGAAGAAATTTTCAACGGGCGTTAGGGGAAGTCAGTTGGTGTTAAGAAAAGGTGGTTGGAGAAGGACGCGATGGTCAGGGGGTATTGCAGGAAGAGGCGCGCCTAACCCAAACAGGTAGCGATCGGAGACCCGATCCCGCTCGTCCTCATGTAGGTGGCCACGAACCAGCAACAGTCGGAACATCGCAATGCCAAGCAACTACATGTTGGATCCCTGATGATATCTATATCCGCGTGAAAGGAGCAGGATACCCAAGAGTGGCTATAGGGATAGGTTTAGTAAGCAGTACTAAGCTTGATTAGTTAGTTACAACCACCGGACCTCTCTTCCCATTTTTGCAGTAAGCAGCACTCAGAATCAGATTCCTTCAGGCTGGGTTTAGGCAGAGCATATGGGCATGGAGGGGGGGCATGTTTGGTATTTAAAAAAGATCGTCGATAGCGGCTATTGCTGAAGTGATAATGGGACGGGGAAAATACCTTAGTTACCGCACGCGGGTGTTCTGTACAGCAGCGCTAATCCAAGTCAGGTAGGGATCCGCAAAATACAGTATATATTATATCTAAGCTCAACGGCCATCATCTCAGCTCCTTTGGTTTAGATGGTTATAACTCCGGATTTTGAGATGGCGGCGTTATGACACTATGTTTTTCCGTCCCAAGAATTCCGGCAACCCTGGTTCGAGTCCAGGAAGGAGCTTTTTTGTTCCTCATTTTGTTTCTGGATGCTGGTTTAGATTATTTCCATCTCGATTACGCCATGTCTCCTTCATCAATTTTTTTGCGTAGACAAAGATGAGTGTTGCACCAGGTGCTTGCCTCTTGTGTTATGTGTATGGCCCAAGAAAATTCCAACAATCCCCACAATTTTTGGATCGGCCATCGGTTGTTGATGACGCACAGCCCAAGTTCCAGAAATACATACGCCCGTACGATCGGGGCCTAGATTCTGTCGAAGGCTACCGGATACGCAGATTGTGTTCATGCCGTGATGGAGTCGGATTGCGCCTGCAGCTCAACAGAGTCAACGTGGCAATGAGAAGGCCCATCCAAGATTATGCGGCCAGACAAAATCTGAAGCGCGGCAGATGGATTGGTGACGTTCAGGCGGAGCACTTGTATATTGAAGTCAGTGCATGGTGGAGCTCCAACGCGTGGTTGACATGCCACCTGGGAGCGGTTGCGGCAGCGGAGCTCGGGCGGTCGATCTTGGGAGCAAGTCAGGCCATGACTGGGGTTTGAGGTTCTGATCGACCGGCTGGCGAATTTTGGCTGAATGGAATGTCCATTTGCGACCTCTCCGCGGCGGTCATGAGGTGCAAACAGAGGGTTCGCGTGGCGGGCGTGAAGATCACCCGGCGCATGGTTGCTATTTAAAAAGAAGCAAGAGTCGCAACGCAACAAGAGACAGCCTTCACGATGGCTCCCAAGTCCCGCCGCGGCTCCTCCAGCTCCAGGCGCCAAAAATCCTGGCGCGGCTAGGCTAGGCCAGACCAGACGACCGGTGGATTGCAGCAGGCGGCGGCGGCGGCGGCGGCGGCGGCGAATTCGCACAGCGATGTCGGGAAATTCAGCGATTGCGGCAAAAACAGCGATTCCGCTGAGACGGGAGTCGACTCATCGCGGAGGGCTTGGATCCGAGCAAAGGCCGGCGTGGGTGAAACCTGGGCGGGGCGGGAGGAGCAGGAAGAGTGTCGTGATGGCAGCGTCGACAATCAGCCAAATGTCAGCCCACACCGGCCAAGTCAGGGGCGGAGAGGAAGAGGTGCAGGCTGCTCGGGCGGGCCCGACGAGTGGCCTGATCAGCACGCCAGCTCGGGGGGCAGCGTCACGGGTCGCCCGTCCGGCAACGCCCTCGCTCCCATCCCAAAACCGCCGTGCAGCAGTTTTTTCAGCCCGCCGAATAAATAAATGCTGCAACGGCGCTGTCGCCCTGGCCATGATCTCATCACCCAACCAGCCATCAGATACAAGCCCACATCTCTGCCCGCGCCCGCTCCCGCCCATCATCCGACATTCGACCACCTCACCATCGGCCAGCCACAAGTCATGACCTGCGATTGGCTCGAAGCCAGCATCATGCCCTCTTTGTGTTAGCACTCCCGAAGCCCGCTGGCCGCTGTGCATAGGGCTGACCATAGCTCCCCCAGCATCGTCCCACGAAGCATCAAACACCTTCGACCCCCTGGACTGGATCAACGCAGATTGCCTCGACTTCCCCACCACCGCCCTCGATTCATCATCATCATCCGTCACCACGCCACCCCTCCTATCTCTCAGTCACACCACCCTCACGCCAGATATCCGCAATCGCTCCATCCGCCCGCGGTCAAAAGACCCTTTGGCGCCACAAGATCACCCGTGGCAGCCAGCAACCGCCGCCAATCCCTTCGAGACCCTCCCGACTTTGTCCGACGACTACTCCTTTGCGGAACCCTCCTCCACCATTCCAGCCAGCGCCCAATCAGCGTCGCCATTTGACTTCACCCCAGACATGGCCCCCTCCCCCACCCCCTCCCTGTCCGGCCCCGAGTCGCCCTTTTCCCACGAGGATCACTCCATGGAGGGATTGACGAGCGCCACCACCACTGCTCCGTCATCCCCGCGTAGATCTTCTCAGATCTCCCTCAAGCGCTCCGCGCCCCCATCCCCACTCATGGACACCATCCCACCTGCCCCAAAGAGGCAGCTCCGCAACCGTCACCATGAGGACCTCAACGAAGACGACACCAGGGTCACCCCGCGCGCCTCGTCCAGCCGGGCCACTCCCAAGACGCGTCAACCCCACAACATGGTTGAGAAAAAGTACCGCGAGGGTCTGAATAACGAGCTCGAGCGTCTGCGCCGCGCCGTACGTACCCTGCCCCAGCCGCGCACCCGGTCCCTCTCGTCTGACGACGACGACGACGGATACGGCTACAGCACTTCGGTCCCCAAGCCCAGCAAGGCCGCCGTCCTGGCCGGTGCCGTCGAGTACATTCGCTACCTGGAAACCGAGCACGAGCGTCTCCGCGGCGAAAACGAGCAGCTCCGCGAGCTCGAGGGCTTGCGGAGGCGGCGAGAGGAGGGTTGGGTCTGGCGCAACCGCGCCGCCGATCCCTTGGGGTTTTTGAGCTAGACTACGAGGCCGAGCAGGCCGCTTGGATTCTTTGCAACATGGCGCAACGGGGCGTTTGGAACGGTGATTGGCATTAAAAAGGCGGGATACCCCATGGAGCAAGCGCAACATATAGAGCCGTGCATACTAGAAGCGGTCTTTTGGCGTTTGTATGGGGTTTGAGAAAAACTCCACTTTTCTTTATGAATATTTTGACGATACATATGAAATGTAATTTCTCCACTTACTTTCAATCGCTGAAGATGACTGGCTTAATATGAAGAAACTTTCAATTGCAAGCAAAGTTCAACATGTGCGTACTTTGCCTCGAAGACTTTAGCATTAGCTCACCTGTTTCCAAAATTTAACAGTTGTGCAAAATCTCGTTTCGATTCTGGAGCAGAAGTGTTGTGCAAAGTTGAGCGGTGGGTGGTGTGACAACGTGCCGTGAAGTTACGGTACTGTAGGTCGTCGATCAGCCAATGACGTCAAGCGAGATACACCCGCGATCTTTGGGTCAGGGCTGGAGGAACCATCCGCAAATCCATCTCTGCGCGTCATCGATCCAAGGACTCTCCACGCATCTGATCTCATCCATCAGCCCAAAATCAATCGCCATGGTCTTGGCGCGCTTTCGTGGCGCTTGCGGCTCAAAAATGCGCAGCTTGAAGCTTGCCACGCCGCCTCTCACCACTCCCACTACACAGCGTCCGAATGCCGATATCATTTCGCAACCCTATTCGACCTTTAGCTCTCCCGTTTCGATCTCTCGCTTGCCTTGTTTCGTCTTCTGCGACAAATAGACCCGCACGGTCGTCGCTGTCCACGATGCCCAAGCGCAAAGCTGCCGCGACAAGCATTGCAGCATCCGAAGACGTCGTTCCTCCCTCGAAACGGCCCAGTGGCCCGGCGCGCAGGTCCTCGGCACGTACCGCAGCTCGCAACACGAATCCGAACCTCAACAGCCAAGTCTTCGACGCTCCCAATGCCCTCAGAGCGAGTCCAGACAGCGCGCAGATTGATGACGAGCCTGCGTCAGCACAGTCGAAGCCGGACAACACCAAGGGTGTAAAGAAAGGCGGTGAAAATGACAAGAAGCGAGGAAGGAAGCCAAAAGCCGTCGAAATGGACAAGGAAGAGAAGCCCAGGCAGTTGCCGACGAAAAACGAAGACGTTGGCGATGAAGCATTTGCAATGGATCCGGAAGCTGACGGTGAAGAAGAAGTGGGGGAGGAAGAACTCAAGGCTGCAGTGTCTAGGCCGCCGCCCGTCAATTCGGACTATTTGCCGTTGCCGTGGAAGGGGCGATTAGGTTATGTGAGTGCAAACGAGCCATAATGACGTGCGAATAGCTAATCCGTCTCAGGCCTGCCTCAACACTTATTTACGTCAAGCCAACCCTCCCGTCTTCAGTTCTCGCACCTGTCGCATCGCATCGATTCTTGACCACCGCCATCCTCTCAAGGATCCTACACAGCCTGAACATGCAACCAAGAACAGACCCGACAAAGAGCAGCCGGCGGAAATTGGTCGCGGCCAAAAGTTCGTGGAAGAGCTTGGGGTGGCCAATGCCAGGGACATTATCAAGATGATCAGATGGAACGAAAAATATGGCATCAAGTTCTTGCGTTTGAGCAGCGAAATGTTCCCCTTCGCAAGTCACGAAGTGTACGGTTATAAGCTGGCACCGTTTGCTGCAGAAACTTTAGGTGCTGCTGGTAAAGTCATAGCAGAGCTGGGACATCGTGTCTCCACTCATCCAGGCCAAGTAAGTGTCGCGCAAATGTGCCATCACCCTTTCTCTAACAAAATGCAGTTTACCCAGCTGGGCTCACCCCGCGAATCAGTGATCAAGAGCGCAATCAGGGATCTTGAGTACCACGACGAACTACTATCTCTTCTCAAGCTCCCGCCACAGCAAGATCGTGACGCCGTTATGATTCTCCACATGGGTGGAACGTTTGGAAACAAAGCCGAAACCCTCGACCGCTTCCGCAAAAACTACGCTGGCCTTTCTCCCTCCATCAAAAATCGACTTGTTTTAGAAAACGACGACGTTTGCTGGAGTGTTCATGACCTTCTTCCCGTCTGCCAGGAGCTCAATATCCCCATGGTTCTCGATTTCCACCACCACAACATTTATTTCGATGCCGCAAAATTGCGTGAAGGCACCAAAGACATCATGGAACTCTATCCTGCAATCCGTGAGACTTGGACTCGCAAGGGCATCACGCAAAAGATGCACTACTCAGAACCGACGCCGGCCGCCGTGACGCCTATGCAGCGTCGGAAGCACAATCCTCGCCCTGCCACGCTGCCTCCTTGCGCAAACGACATGGACCTTATGATTGAAGCCAAGGACAAGGAACAGGCCGTTTTCGAGCTAATGCGCAACTTCAGGTTGCCCGGCTGGAATCTCTTTAACGACATTATACCGCATGTACGCGCAGACGAAAACAAGCCCATGCGCGCGCCTAAGAAGGCAGCGCCCAAGAAATCCAAAAAGCAAACCAATGCTGCTGAGGCAGCTGAAGGCGAAGAGGCTCGCGAAGCCGTGGAAGCGGAGCCCGCCCCTGCTCCTGTAATTCCCGAAGAGGAGGTCG